TTCCCTGCAGTGGTTGACTCAGCATAAATAAGCATAGCCAGGAAGCTGAGAGTTCAGTCTGAGGTTCTTCCCGGTATACAGGATCCCCTGTCAGCAAATGGCCCTTAGGCTCTTATTTATAAGATTTGGGTTCCTGGTTGACCATGGGGAGTCTATCTCAGCAGATAAATTCCTTCCTGGGATTCATATCAAATAAATCTTCCTTCTCTGAGTCCACACGCATTTTAGAAGGAAAGATTCAATCTTTCCCGTTAAGTATGATGTTACTTACAGAGTTTTCAGATGCTCTATGTCAGGTCGAGAGGAAATGCCTTTCTGTGGTGGGCAGAATAATAGCCCCCAAAGATGTCCACGTCCTAATCCGTGGAACCTATGAATATGTTACCTTATGCTGCAAATGGAACTTTGTAGATGTGATTAAACTAAGGATGTTGAGATGGGGAGATTATCATGGATTATCCAGATAAACCCAAGGAAAGCACAAGGGTCTTTATAAACTGGAGGCAGGGGGGTCAGAATTTGAGAGACATCAGCAGACTGCTGGCTTTGAAGATGGAGAAAGGGGCCAGGATCTAAAGGGTGCAGGTGGCTTCTAGAAACTGGAAGACGAAGAAATCCATCTTCCCCTAGAGCCTGGAAAAGAAACACAGGCTTGCTGACACACTGATTTTACTTCAGCAAATTAGTACTTAAAACAATACAAGTTTATTAGCTTACAGTTATGGAGGTCATAAATTTGAAATGGGTTTTATAGAACTAGCAATAAGAAACTATTACACCTTCTTTCCATAATTTCCTGGGTTTTTTTGAAGGGAGGGGATGGGTATTAAATTTTGTCAAATGAGCTCGGCCGGTGTAGCTTCATGGTTAAGTGTTGACCCATGCACCAAGAGGTTGCCAGTTTGATTCCTGGTCAGGACACATACCCAGGTTGTAGGCCCGATTCCCAGTATGGGACATGCAGGAAGCAGCCAGTCGATGTTCTCTCTCATCAATGTCTCTATCTCTCTCTCCCTCTCCTTCCTCTGTCTCTAAAAATCAGTTTAAAAATATATATATATTTATGTATATATTTTTTTTTCCTCACCCAAGGACATTTTTCAATATTTTGTTCAGATAGAGTAGGAGGGAGAGAGAGAGAGAAACATTGACATGAAAGGGACACATCGAGTGGTCGCCACCCACACAACCCAACCAGGACCAGGGACAAACTGCAACCAAGGTAACGTGCCCTCCTTAGCGGGAACCAAACCCGGGTCTCTCCAGATTGCAGGCCAATGCTCTAACCGCTGAGCCAAACCAGCCAGGGCAAAATATATATATATTTTTTAGAAACTAGAAATGTACCTTTAAGTACTGACTTAGCTGAGTTTACAAATTTCTGTTTTTATTTAGTTTAAAAACTATTTTCTAATTTACCTGTGATTTCTTCTTTGATACTTGGGTTATTTCCAAGAATTTGGGGATTGTCTAGATGTCTTTTTGTTATTATAATTTATAATTTAATTCTGTTGTGGTCACCATACAGGCTTTTAATAATTGTAATCTATCTATCTATCTATCTATCTATCTATCTATCTATCTATCTATTTATGTTAATCCTCACCTGAGGATATTTTTCCATTTATTTCTAGAGAGTGGAAGGGAGGGAGTGGGAGAGAGAGAAACATCAATGTAAGAGAGACACATCAATTGGTTGCCTCCTGCACAACCCCAAACAGGGCTGGGGATCAAACCTGCAACCCAGATACATACCTGGGCTGACATTCTAACTACTGAGCCAAACCGGCCAGGGCTATTTCAATCTTTTTAAACTTGTTTTTATGGCCCAGTCTAGAGTCTATCACAAATATTCTGTATTGACAGAAAATGTACATTGTTGGTAAGTGCAGTGCTCTATGTTAATAAAGTCAAACTGGTTGATTGTATTGTTCAAATCTTCTATATCCCTACTGATTTTGTCCTATTAAATACTCGCAGAGGAATGTTGAAATCTCCAGTTGAAATCATCCAATTATGGATGTCTATTTTTTCCATTTATTTTTATGTCTTCTTGATATAGCCTTTATATCTCTGGTAATCTTCTTGGTCTTGAATTCTGCCTTGTCTGATATTAATATAACCATTCCAACTTTCTCCTGTGATTAATGTTTGCATGATAAATTGTTTTACTGTTAGCCTGGGTTTTAATATTCAAAGTATGTTATCATATAGTTGGGTCTTGCTTTTTGAAAATCCAGTTTGAAAATCTGCCTTTTTTTTTTTGGTACTTGCCCCTAGTAGGAACTGATCCCGGGTCTCTCTGGTCCGCAGGCTGATGCTCCAATTGCTGAGCCAAACTGGCCAGGGCGAAAATTTCTGCCTTTTAATTGGAGTGTTTGGTCACTTCCTCAAATGCTTCCTAAAACTGATCAGTGCCTGTGGTTTGGGATTTATTCCTGCCTTTTGTTAGCATTCCATAGGGAAAGATTAAAGTGACAGGGTCACTGCCTTTTCTTCCCAGTGGTCTGTGACATAATTTTCTCATCGGTAAAGAGGGAATAATTGTACCTACCTCATAGGCTAGTTACAAGAATTAGATGAGCCCAGCTGGTATGGCTCAGTGGTTGAATGTCAGCCCATGCCCCAAGAAGTCACTGGTTCAATTCCCAGTCAGGGCACATGCCTGGGTTGAGGGCTCAATCCCTAGTAGGAGACATGCAGGTGGCAGCCGATCGATGTTCCTCTCTCATCAATGTTTCTCTCTCTCTAAAAATCAGTAAAAACACCCCTGGCTGGTTTGGCTCGGTGGTTAGCGTGCCAGCCCATGGACCAGAGAGTCATGAGTTCAATTCCAGTAAAGGACACTTGACTTTGGTTGTGGTTCTATCCCCGGCCCTGGTCAGGGTCATGCAGGAGGCAACCAATTGATGTGTCTCTCTCACATCGATGTTTCTCTTTCTCTCCCTCCCCCCTTCTCCCTCTCCCTCCCTCCCTTCCTCCCTCCCTCCCTCCCATTCTATCTGAAAATCATGGAAAAATAGCCTTGGGTGAAGATTAAACAATAATAAAATATAAAAATAAAAACATATAAAATAAGAATTAGATGAGATAATACATGTAAGGTACATATGTGTACACACTGAAATGAAAGCTACAGATAGCTTTAGATCATTAAATGATAGTAATAACAGATTATTACTATTTCACTAAGCACCCTCTTCCCATTTGGCTTTGGTGAAGTGGTGAGTTAAAGTAAGAAATGAATTCCACTTTACAGTTATCAAGTGTTCTTATATGCATCCTCATCTAGTGAAAACTACTGGAGACTTGTAATGATTTTACAGCCTTTATTCTGTATTTTCAACCATGTGCTTTCTTTGCTTAGATGGCTGTTTTGTTTTTTTTTAGATAGAGTGGGAAGGAGAGAGGAAGAGAGAGAGAGAGAGAAACATAGATGTGAAAGGGACACATCGAGTGGCTGCCACCCGCACGACCAACCAGGGCCGGGGACAAACTGCAACTGAGGTACGCGCCCCAGTGGGAACCGAACCCGGGTCTCTCTGGACCGCAGGCCGACGCTCTAACCGCTGAGCCAAACTGGCCAGGGCTAAACGGTTGTTTTGTTTTTCTTTTTGTTTTGTTAATCCTCACCCGAGGATATTTTTCCATTGATTTTTAGAGAGTGGAAGGGAGAGAGAGAAACATCGATGTGAGAGAGACACATCAATTGGTTGCCTCCTGCATAACCCTGACTGGGGCCGGGATTGAATCTACAACCCGTACCCTTGGCCGAAATTGAACTGGCAACCCTTTGGTCCGCAGGCCAATGCTCTAATTGCTGAGCCAAACTGGCCAGGGCTAGACAGTTTTTTATTTTTATTTATTTTTAATTTTTTTCTTTATTGATTTTAGAGAGGGACAGGGAGAGATAGAAACATCGATGAGCGAGAACATCGACTGGCTGCCTCCTGCATGCCCCCCACTAGGGATTTGGCCCACAATTTGGGCATGTGCCCTGACCAGGAATCTAATTGGCAACCTCTTTGTTCATGGGTCGACGCTCAACCACTGAGCCACACCAACCAGGCATCTGCTCACTATTTCTAAAGTCTATCTGTGCTTATATGTGTAGTGGTAATTAATTTTTACTGCTGTATAGCCTTACATTCTATAATCCCCTGTTCTATTCAATGCATATGGATTATTCACAGTTTTGGGCTTTTCCAAACGCTATGAATATTGTTTGTGCATTTCTAAGGTAACATGCTGGGATGGAATTGCTGGGTCTTGAGGTAATGTGCAGGGTCAACTCAACTAGTTAAAGCCATCTGCTTCCAAAGTGGCTTGTACTAATTCATCTTTTCACCAGCAGGGTAAGAGGTTCCTCTTTCTCCATGTCTTCCATGCTGACATCTACTGAACATATTTTCATATTCTAACTTTTCTGCCCACTTGCGTCTTTATAACAGCCAACACTTAATGTTCATTTAAATTGCCAGGCCCTGCCCTGGCCGGTTTGGCTCAGCGGTTAGAGCGTCGGCCTGCGGTCCTGAGAGACCCGGGTTCAGTTCCCGCTAAGGGCACATACCTCGGTTGCAGTTTGTCCCCGGCCCTGGTCGGTTGTGCGGGTGGCAGCCACTCGATGTGTCCCTTCACATCGATGTTTCTCTCTCTCTCCGTCCCACTCTACCTGAACAAAAAATGGAAAAATGTCCTCGGGTGAGGATTAAAACAAATAATAATAATAATAAATAAATAAATAAATAAATAAATAAATAAATAAATTGCCAGGCTCTGTACTAAGGGCTCTGTATCCATGATCTCATTTCACAAGAGCCCTATCTATTATGTATTGTCATTTGTGACCAAGAGAGCAAGACTTTGTCTTTCCCTGCCCATTTCCCTTCTGCCTGGGCCCATGGCTATTCTCCGTGGCCACATTTCTTCCTCCTCCCAACCTGAGCAAGGCCAGGTCCCAGCAGGGCCTCAGTCCCCACCTTGAAACCTTTCTTCCTCAGGCTGTTACTCCTTGTCAGTCCGCCTCAGCCGCCCTACATCCTGGGACCGGATCAGACACTACAGGATCCAACGTCTTGACAATGGCTGGCTGTACATCTCGCAGCGTCTCACTTTCCCCTCACTCCAGGCGCTAGTGGACCATTACTCGGGTATGGCCTTTCCTTGCCTCCACGACAGTAGATTGCGATGTGGGTTTTAGGGTTCAGACAGTGTGTCCTTAAACACTTTACCTGCCAAAGAATATCCAGACAGATGGGAGAAGGGCATCCCCGACCTTCATGCCAGTCCCTGTGCCAAGAAATGTGGGCTGGCAGCCCTATCTTTATCCCATGCCCAGAGAGAGCCACACAGACCTCCCGTGTGAGAGCAGGCCAGTAACTTACCCACCACTATTTCTGAGTCAAAGCCCTAGTGGCAAGCACAGTTCTCTCCCTAGGAACTAGGCCCTGATCTGTTGCTACTGTGGAATTAAAGTTGATTCTTAGCATTTTCTGGTGTCTGTGCAGTAACAGGCACTAAAGAATGTAGAGGGGCAGAGAGTAAAATTGATTGGGAGTTTACTAGGGAGTTGTTCATGTGATAGACACTGACATAACAAGTAAAGATGGAGAATTCCTGCCCTGACCAGTTTGGCTCAGTGGTTCGAGCGTGGGCCTACGGTCCAGAGAGACCTGGGTTCGGTTCCCGCTAGGGGCACGTACCTCGGTTGCAGTTTGTCCCCGGCTCTGGTTGGGTCATGTGGGTGGCAACCACTCGATGTGTCCCTTTCACGTCGATGTTTCTCTCTTCCTCTCTCTCCCTCCCACTCTATCTGAACAAAAAATGGAAAAATGTCCTCGGGTGAGGATAAAAAAAAAAAAAAAGATGGAGAATTGCTTAGTTTTCTTCTTCCCTAAGCACTTGCCTAGCCAGAAACTAGGCTTAAAGAGGTCCATCAATTCACAAAAAATCACAGTAAACTGTCTCCCAAAACATAGCCCAGAATGACTTTTGATTGTATCTCAGCCTCTAGGAGACCAAGAGCTTAGGGCTCATGCCATTACCCTTTTTAGACCATGTCCCCATCTGCCAAGTATAGAACTATCCGGGAGGGTGGGGGTTGGAGAGGAAAGCAGGGCTGGAGTCAACCACATCAAGTGTCTAGGTCTCTTCCTCAGAGCTGGCGGATGGCATCTGCTGCCTCCTCAAGAAGCCCTGTGCCCTGCGGAGAGCTGGCCTGGTCCCTGGCAAGGACATACCCTTACCTGTAACTGTGCGGAGGGCGCCCCTCAATTGGAAAGAGCTGGACAGGTGAGGGGACCCCTGGAACATGAAGGTAGAGCAAAGAGGATTCACCCCTGGGAACCCAAAACCCAATGAGCCTGACACTTTCAGGAATAGCGGGGGACCAGTGAGCACTAATTGAGCTCTTAGAGGCCAGCCCAGGCTCAGCAGGTGTGTAGGGGGAGAGGAGAAAGTGGGCATGCACACAGGACACCAAGGTGGCCAGGATGGAAGAAAAGTCAGACAAGATGGGACAGAATAGAGCACTAGTCCTGAGTGGAGGAGTCAAGCTGGGGTTTGGTCTGGTAGGGAACAGGGAGCCACTGTCAGCAGGAGTGAATTAAAAACGGTGAAGTGTGTGGTGAGTGCAGGGACAAGGCTTCCTAACCCAGCTCTTTTCCATTCTCCATAGCTCCCTCCTGTTCTCTGAAGCACCTGCCACAGGAGAGGCACCTCTCATCAGCGAGGGGATCCGGGAGGCCCTCAGCTCCTACATCAGCCTGACTGACGACATCTCCTTGGATGATACCAGAGTCCAAAGCAGAGGCCAAAAGGGGAAGCAAGACTGTAGCACATAGACTCCTAAGTCAGCTCAGCCTGACTGCATACCCAAGGCAAGGCTGTACAGAGTAAGGGGAGGGCAGGGACACACAGGCACATTCAAGGTCCCACCTGTATCCTTTGTTCCTTCCTCCCAGCCCCAAGAAATCACAAACCTCCCTCCCAGTTTGTGTCATGACCCTGCCTGCAACCTCTAGTTCAAGTACAGACCAGGGTCCGGGCTCCAAAAAGAGACTAAACTGCCCTGGCCGTTTTGACTCAGCGGTTATATCTTCGGCCCATGGACCAAAGAATCGTGGGTTCAATTCCAGTCAAGGGCACGTACCTTGGTTGTGATTTGTCCCCGGCCCTGGTCGGGTCATGAGGGAGGCAGCCAGTCGATATGTCTCTTTCACATCGATGTTTCTCTTTCTCCCTCCCTCCCACTCTATCTGATGATAAATGTAAAAATATCCTTGGGTGAGGATTAATTAATAAATAAATAAATAAATAAGACTTAACTTCCTCTGGGGTCTGATGTAGTCAGTGCTGAAGCTTGGGAATTCCAGCACTTCTTCCTCCCCTGCCAGTTGAGTCCCATTTAAACCCTCCCTTGCCCTGCTAACCAGCCCCACCCACAAAGTAGAAACAACCACTAGCATCAAGAAGAAAAAAAATAATTTAAAGAAAATTTACAAGGGACAGGAATGCAAAGGGGATGGCTCACCACAGCGGCAGAACCTGGGCTGTCCAGCCTCCCTCCCCCTGACCCCAGAGCAGAGGACTTCTGACAGTCCAGGTCCTCAGATGTTCCTACCAAGCCCCTTCTCTGGACAGTTGTAGCTCTCAGATTTCTATTTCATTTTGCAGCTTATCATTTGGGCCTGGCCAAGCCTTACTGGACTTGCAATGCAAAATGACACTTTCTGACCCTGCCCAATGCAATTCTGAGCCTGGCACACTGTGATGAGGTCAATTATGTGTGGCTATCAGTGCTGGGCAGGGGCATTAGAAAAGTGGTCTCTCTCCACAAAGCTAAGGCCTCAGCCTAAACCCATAAAGGGAAAGAAGCCTGGGCTGGAGCTGCTAAGGGAGGAGGGAGGGAAAGAGGGATGGAGATGGGGGGGCACTACCTCTAGTGTTCCTACTAGCTTCTCAGGCTAGAGGTGAGGTGAGAAAGGCTTTACCAGGTATTATCAAGAGGTCAATTAAAGATCTGATTTATTCAAGTATCTGAAAACACTCTATGATGGAAACTGTTACTAGATGCTGCTTATACTGTGCTATGGACCATGCACATACTGCCGTACTCTTTTGGAAGACTTGAAATGCCACAGATAGTTTAAACACTGTACACCTGATGGAGAAGTGAGGAAGACAATTTAATGTTTCATCCGGATCCAGAAGCGCGTCAAATTAAATGACAGCTCCAAACAGTTGTTTTATGATAGTATCCAAGAAGAAATGGTTGGTGATGGACAATTCAGAAATGCTTCCCCAAAAGGTGGATGGTTCTTTAAAAAGTTTCAGGTCACAACTCTTGCAGAAAACACTGATGCCCAACACACTGATTCTCGGTCCAGGAAACATGGATCTTCCAGGTTCCATGTGGCTGGGATGCCCCTATAAATCACGTTTCTGTGCTGTAACTAAGAGGGTCCTTTGGACCCGACAGAGAGCAGGTGGGGACTGTACACCATCAGTCATAATGGATGGCAGTGTAAAAGATGATCCAGATGACCTAGAGAGGAGACAAGCAATGTTCAAGGTCACCTGGTCAACATAGGCCTCTTTCCCACAAAACAAAAATGTGAGATAAGAATGTCTACACAGTGGGCTTCCCAGGGGCTATCCAATGCATAATCCATTTGAGGACCAAAATAATTTCACTGAAATCAAGCTGTCTCTAACAGAGCCCAGGACCACCCTGTGCTCCTGAAGGGACCCCGGACAAACCTCACCCTGCCAAACAGCAAACCAAGTGTCAGGGAGTGGAGTTATAGATGCGGAAACAAAACAGGTAAAGCAGACTGTACTGCTAGTATGTGTTAGGATTAGCAATAAATGTGAAAACCAAACCACCATCATACCCTTTCAGTGCCATATCAAAGCACAGATTCTCAAAACTGGCTGCATCTCCTTGGACCTTTAAAAATATTATGTAGATGCCCACATGCCACCTCCCAGAGCTTTTTATATTATTAGTTTGGGCTGAGATCTACACATCAAAAACAAACAACTTTTTTTTTTTTTTTTTGGTACGTGCCCCTAGTGGGAACTGAATCCAGGACTCTCTGGTCCGCAGGCCGATGCTCCAACCGCTGAGCCAAACCAGCCAGGGCAACAACTTTGATATATAATTTATAATCCATGAAGTATACAATTCCAGTGTTTTTTCCTGATATTTTAATATTTTCTTCCTGAATACATTTCTAAAAACATACAATTCAGAGGTTTTTAGTATATTCACAGAGGTGTGTAAACATCACCATTAACTGATACTGGAACATTTTCATCATTATCAAAAGAAAGTAAGTTCCCATTATCAGTTATTTCCTCTTCCTATAGCCACTGGCAATCACTAATCTTTTTGTGTGTTTGAATTTTCACATAAATGGATTCATACAACAAGTGATCTTTTATCTGAATTCTTTCACTTAGCATGTTTTCAAGGTTCATCATGTTGTAGCATGCATCAGTACTTCATTCCTTTTTATGGCCAAATTAATATTCTGTATGAATATACATTTTATCCATTCATTAAGTGATGACTTTGTACTTTTTAGCTATTATGAACAATGCTATGAATATATTTTTAAATGGTTCCCAGTTGTTTCTAGTAGGCAGCCAGAATTGAGAATCAGATGTAAAAGCTGACAATGGGCCCTGGATTTGTACACCACATCTTTTGGGACAACATGACTTAAGAGTGGACATATCCTCCCAGCCTTGGGAGCTTTTGGAAAAGTGGTACCCCAATCACACAATGTAACTCAATCACTAGGCTCCTCTTGAGTGACTCATGGAATGATTCTACTTGCTGTGAAACTATCAGGTATACATACCATGAACAAGGCAAACGATGTCATAAACCCTTCTTTCGTGAGTTCCCATGTACCCCCGTATTCTTCCTCATCTATCTGTAGGTAGTTGCTGAAGTAGAGGTACAAGACTCCTGCATTGATTAGGCAGAATCTGGAGTGAGAGAGAACAAGCACCAAAAATAAACTGTAAGCTTAGAAGACTCAGAACTCCCACCACCATGGTCCAGCTCTATTAAGTACCCACTGTGGCACAGTTAACTATTTTATTATGAGAGAAAGTGAAATAATACATGAAAATATCTAGGCCCTTGCACGGCTGTTGTGGCCCTAATCCCCAGTGGGGGATGTGCAGGAGACGGTGAACTGATGTTCTCTCTCATCAATGTTTTATCTCCCTCTCCCTTCCTCTCTCTCTAAAATCAATACAGAAAAAAAAGAAAGAAAATATCTAGACCCTCAATTGAGCTACCCATTTGGCTGAGCTGAAGACTTAAAGAAGGTTGCCCAGCCAAAGCAAAAAATAAAATAAATCAAAAGGCAGATTTAAGTTCTTTAAGCCACCTTGAAGTAAGACAGACTGGTCCCCAGTAGGATTAGCACCTTACTTGAGTCTCCAGGTAGCTCCATCTGGAGTAAGGGGTGGCCACGGAATAAACACATGTTAAGCTGATGCTTCATGAACAAGCAAGGACTCTACTGAAAAAGTCCATGCATAATTCCCAATGGGAGGCAATTTCTGGATGTCCACTGTCCGTCTGCTACTACACTGACAGCAGTTCCTGCCCTCAGCTCACCATCTACTAGGGGGTTAAAAACAGCAGTGAGGCCCTGACCAGTATGGCTCAGTTGGTTGGAGCATTGTCCCATAAGCCAAAAGGTGACGGGTTCGATTCCGGGTCAGGGTACATACCGGTTTCAGGTTCAATTTCTGGTCAGGGCAAGCACGGAAGGCAACCAATGGATTTTTCTCTCTCACTTTGATGTTTCTCTTTCTCTTTCTCAAATCAATTTACAAAAACAGTATTGAGAATGGAATTGAAACCAAAGACCTCTAGGAAGGCCTTTGAATCCCACCATGTATTATCTAACTGATGAAGGATTAGAACGCAGTGAGTAGTAATATATCACACTGCTCCACTGATCTCTTGGTACCATCATCGTGTAAAAGTAAGTTTTAGAAAGTGATCAAGACTTTGAACTTTCCAGTTACAATATCTAATCTAACGGACTGTATGTCTTAAGTCACATCCCTTCTGAAAACTGAGGGAGAAAAATGTAAAGAGAACTGGTTCTTTTTTTTTATATCCTCACCCGAGGACATTTTTCCATTTTTTGTTCAGAGTGGGAGGGAGAGAGAGAGAAACATCGATGTGAAAGGGACACATCGAGTGGTTGCCACCTGCATGACCCAACCAGGGCTGGGGACAAACTGCAACCCAGGTACGTGTCCCTAGCGGGAACCGAACCCTGGTCTCTCTGGAGCGCAGGCCGACGCTCTAACTGCTAAGCCAAACCGGCCAGGGCTCTCTCTCTCTCTCTCTCTTTTTTTAAAGTCTTTATTGTTTAAAGTTCTACAGATGTCCCCCCCTCCCGCATTGACCCTCCTCCTCCTCACTCCCACCCCCACCCTGCCTTCTCCACACTATGGTCTGTATCTACTGGTTATGCATGTAAGTTCTTTGGTTTATCTCTTCCCATCGCCCCCCCAATCCTCTGAAGTTTGACAGTCTGTTCCCTACTTTCATGTCTCTGGATTTATTTTGATCATCGGCTTATTTTGTTCATTACATTCCATAAATGAGTGAAATCATGTGGTACTTACCTTTCTCTGACTGGCTTATTTTACTTAGCATAAATCTCTCCAGGTCCCTCCATGTCGTCTCAAAAGGTAAGAGATCTTTCTTTCTTACAGATGCATAGTACTCCATTGTGTATATGTACCACAGCTTTTTTATCCATTCGTCTACTGATGGACACTTGGGCTGTTTCCTGATCTTAGCTATTGTAAATAGCACTGCTATGAACATAGGGGTGAGAACTGGTTCCTCTTAATGGATGAAATGTGGGCTGGTGTAGGGCAGGGCAGTTTGATAATATGGAATAATGTAAACCAGTATATAAGAGTGGGAGTAGACCCTGAGACAGTCTGAGCAAGGTGGGGGTGAAGTAGGGTGTGCACACTTCAGGAAGTATAGTTTGTAAGGAGTTTGGGCTTTCTCCAGAATGGAAGGAACCAGAGCTGGGAGACTGGTTTAGACCTGTACCACGTTTCAGGACAAGAGTGCAAATAAAGTTTGAGGACAACGACTAGGACAATGGCTGAATAGGGAGGGAAGAGGCCCCAAAGGCTGGAGCCTAAGGGCCTGGGAGTACAATAGTCTCAGTAACAGAAGTAGGGAGTCAGGAAGCATGAAGGTTTTTCTTGGATTTCACCTAAAATAGAGTCCTTGGTTTGGCTAAATTGTGGCCACCTCCTTATCTTCTGCCAGAAATCTTGGGACCTGGCCGATCTGGCTACTTCCCTCTAACAAGAGTTTCATTTTGTGCAGGCTGAGTTAGTGGCTCTAGGCAGAGACCAGTAACAGGACTTAGCAATGTCACTCTGACTCAGCTAATAAGCTAGGGCTGGAGAAGGAGTGGAGACTCATGGAGTGAGATGAGCTAGAAGAGTGGCTGCTCGGTGAGATGAGAGGGGAAACATAAGGGAAGGTGAGAGAAGGAATGGCAGGGAGAAAGAAAAGGGTTGGCATAAACCTTGCCTTCTAAGGGTTACACACTGAGTAGAAAGTAGAGCCACAGAAATATAAGTATTTAAATATTTGGTGGTCAAGAGGGAGGGGTCTGAAAAGGACTCGAAAGGCTCAAACTGAGCTTTAAAGATAAGTATACTTTCTTTCTTTTTAAAATATTTTTTTTAAATATTTTTTCTTTGTTGATTTTTTAGAGAGAGAAGAAGGGAGAGGGAGAGGGAGAGAGAGAAACATCAATGAGAGAGAACATTGATTGGCCGACTCCTGCAGCCCCCACCCCCCGCCCTGGGGATCAGGCCCACAAACTGAGCATGTGCCCCAACTGAGAACTGAACTGGCGACCTCTTGGTGTCTTGGTGCATGGGTTGATGCTCAACAACCGAGCCATACCAGCTGAGCAAAGATGGGCATAATTTCTATACTGTAAACAAGGGTGAGAACTTCACAGCAAATGTGTACACTAAGAAATGAACGTGCTGGGTTGGAGAAGAACATTAAAAAAGACCAATTCTCAAATAGGTTTTTAACAATTCTAGCCTATGCCCTGGCTGGGTTGCTTAGTCGGTTAGAGCATCATACTGATACACCAGTGTTGTGGGTTCAATGCCTGATCAGGGCACACAGAAGAATGTATCTATAAGTGGAACAATAAATCAATGTTTCTCTTCTCTCTTAATAAATTAAAAAAAATTTTTTTTAATTCTATCTTAAAAACTCCTGTCAGAATTTAACAAAATAACGAATTGAATAAACATGATGATTTCAGGGCTGGAAAGCTACATGACAATAATAATGCATGGCACTGCTTTCAAGGGTCAATGGGAATTCATTTTTCTTTTTTTTAAATTTAATAAACATTCACTGAGCACCTATTAATCGTGTGCCAACCTCTATGAGAGAGAGGCAGGAAGGGATGGACAGGGCCCATCTCTGATAATGCAAAACCTCAGCAGACACAGCAGAATCACCACTCAGTTCTCAAGCAAATTATAACTGAGACCCGAGGAAATGATTTTACCTTGATGGGCCCTAACTGGTGGTCACACCAGAAATGAGAAGCCAAGCTGTGGCTGAAACAGAGAGCAGCTGAGACAGAAGTGGGGAGGAGAGAGACACCAGAACTGAGCAGTTCTGCCCTTAAGTACAGGCAGCTGGGTCAGACAGATGACGGAAAGGAGGTGTGAGTGGAAAAATCAATGTCCTTGGATCCTTTCCAAGAGCAGGGAAAACGATGCCAACCAAAGGAGGAAAGAGATTGGAGATTTGGCTCTGGCAGGTCAATGTGAACTGAACCCCAGAAAGCAGTCCTGAGAAAGCAGCACTATGCACTATGAGTGAGCCACTCCAAGGTGAATTCATTCCAAATGCCACGTCTCTTCCTCCTTTCTTCTCAATAGCTGTATTTTACCATTCTTTGTAAAGCTAATCACATAATAATTGCAGTGAATCCTGGCTGGTATGGCACAACGGTTAGAGCATCGGCTTACAGACCGGAGAGACCCGGGTTTGGTTCCTGCTAAGGGCATATACCTCGGTTGCGGTTTGTCCCCAACCCCGATTGGGGTTGTGTGGGTGGCAACCAGTCGATGTGTCTCCCCCCCTCCCACTCTATCTGAAGATAAACGCAAAAATATCCTTGGGTGAGGATAAAAAATTATAATACTTGCAGTGAACCATTCATGGAGTGCCTGTGAGGTACTAAGCACTACTTTTAGCAATTTACTTGCATTATCTCATTTAATTCACACATCCATCTTCTAAGGCAGGCATTTATTGCCTTTTTTTTTTTTTAACTACAAGAATTTATTACTAATGGATGGGAGAAGATATTATCCCATTTTAATGAGGAGGAAACTGAGTCTCAGAGAGGTGAGCCCAAAATTATGCAGCCTGAAAGCAGCAGAGCTAGAACTTGAATTCAGAGCTTTCTATAAAGTTAAAAAAGAAAAAGAAAGAAAGATCTGTTTGGCCAGCTTAACTCTTTTGCCACAGTGAGAGGTATAGCAGATTAGCTCTAGTCCTTGCTATATTATTCCAGATTGGTGACTTCAGAGAAATCCCTGACGTACAGGAGGCTCTCCTAGACAAGTGGCTGTGGGAAGATGAGAAACTCTCTCTAGCTTTTAGATTGCCTTTCCTCCTTCTCTGGCATTTTTCTCTTATCCACCTTTTCTCTCATAGAAAGCTTAAATGGGATGACCAACATTCTAAAAATACTATCTATATACCACCTCCAACCTGGGAAGACCTCTATGAACACCAGGTCTTGTGTCTCATCAACACAATCAGCCCTCATCAAGTGTGCAACCCGTCAAAGTCAGGTAGAGAATAAACTCTTACTGGTTTCCTTATACAAATGCTTTGCTCAGTATCATAAATCAAAAACTTTCTTAGTGCCCGGCCGGTGTAACTCAGTGGTTGAGCGTCGACCCATGCACCAAGAGGTCACCTGTTCAATTCCTGGTCAGGGCACATGCCCAGGTTGTGGTCTGAATCCCCAGTGGGGGGCATGCAGGAGGTGGCCAATCGATGTTCTCTCTCACTGATGTTTCTATCTCTCTCTGCTCTCCCTCTCTCTAATATCAATAAAGAAAAAAAATTATAAAAAAAGAAAATGGAGGGTCAAACTTTCAACTTTTGCACTGCCTTCTAAAATGTAAGGACCTGAAACAATTTCTGAAAATGCTAAAATTCAGCATATTCAGCACAGTGCCAGGCACAAGGGAGTGGTCATCAAGTACAGAAGCTCTTCCACTAGAACTAGATGATGCCTGCCACCAATAGCATTTGGTAGTCTCTTGCACTGGACCCATGAATGAATGGACTGGCCCAGCCTTCAGGAAGGTAACATATATGACCTAAGATGCTCCTGGGCTTCATGAACTAAGGAGTACAGCACCAGACCCAGGAGGTCCATCATGAGGCCACATTTTTGCTTTAGTCATTATAAATGTGCACGTGCACACACACAGAGATTAATTTAAAAGAAAAAGAAAATCCAGCCAGCCAGTTTGGCTCAGTGGACTGAGCATCGTCCCACGGACTTCAAGGTCCCATTTTGATTCCTGGTCAGAGTACATGCCCGGATTGTGGGTTCAATCCCCAGCAGAGGGTGTGCAGGAGGCAGCCGACTGATGTATTTCTCTCATTGATGTTTCTATCACTCTCTCCAAAAAAAAAAAAGTCAATAAAAACATTTTAAAAAACCCAATGTAGCAATGGCATTTTCCATAAAATGAAAATAAAACCTCTACTTGAAAGAGAAATGATATCATGAAAATGCAAGACACCCAAGACTTACCCTGCTATTCCCAAGAAACCTCTCAATGGTAACACTCCCCAAATGACACCCAGGACCACAGCGATGATTTGTCGGAACCAGTAGATCACATCTAAAAATTCGTCCTGTAGAAAAAAGATTGCATGCATTATCTGGAGAGGGTGCCATAGCAGAACCTGTTGTAATAGGTGAGGAACAGAAAAGTTTCCTGCTAACACATCTTCCAGGAAATATTTCCCTAAAAGCAATAGTATGAGGTTCTCACATCTTCACTCCTTTTTATACTAAAAAGTGGTCAAATAAAACAATAATGATATCTGTTTTGAGTGATGACTTCTAAGGGCTGTGCTATAAATACAAATTTTAGAAAAATCATTTTTGAGAAACTGCAAAAATCAAATGATTTGTGATGAAATGGCTGTGTTTATTCACTGTGCTATTGGCCACTGATAATGTGTTATCTGATGTGGGGAGACCTAGATACACTAACCCCAGGCAGAAGGGCTGACAGTCAATCTACTCAGGATCATCTTCCTGCACACTGAATTTTGAGTAAGTCGCAAAGGAGAGAAAGGATTAGAAACAAAAGTGCTGGAGGCAGGCGCCAGCATACCTATTTAACGTACAAGGACACAGAGGACTCAGGTTTCTGACTTGTCCTAGATTGCAGAAACCAGTCCTTATAGAAGGAAAGAAAGAAAGAAATGACACAGCAGACCATAAAGATTTTACAAGAGCTGGGTAGGGCGGGGGCACCTGGCACCTGCAGGAAGGTCCTCCCATCCCACCTTACTGGAACTCCAGCAAGGAAAACCTAATTCATCAGTCTCGCCTACCCCAACTCCTCCTCAGTAACATTCTTTTCAGGCCAACTGGAATCAAGCTGTTTGTGATGGTCCCTTCCAGGTCATGGAGCAGAGTTGGAGAGTGCCCAAACTCAGATCTCAGATCTGAACGTGTGTGACCAGTAAGGAAATCTTGCAGCCCTAATCACTCCTCACACGTTTCTTCTCTCTCTTTCTCTCATTCACATACATACACACACTCACCCCTGAAAGGTGGTTTCAGTCTCCCCTCAACTCTCTCACTTCAGATATTCGGTTTTTCTCATTCAACAATAAAACAATGGCAACTTATCTTTACTAAGCCTTACTAAGCGCTACCTTTTTAATGTATCACAGTACCCCGGCTCAGAGTTGTTCTGAAAATTAAGTGAGACAAAGCACAGAGAGCACCTGACACAGAAAGTATCCAATAGATGTCTGTTACCGTTACTTTTCGTGCTAACGACTATGTTAAGTAGTTAATTCAAAGAAGATAAGTCACTTACTCAAGATCCTACTGAGACTAAAAGGCGGAGGTGAAGTCGAACTCAGTTTAATCTTGCCGTTCAAGCGCACGCCCTCCCCGCGAGTGACACCTCCTCTGCTCCCTCCGCACTGCTACCCGCATGTCCCGGGCGGCTTGACCGTGAGGCCACTCCGCGGTGAGCCCCGAGTTCGCCATGACACCCTTCGGCCACCAGCCCCACCACTCCAAACACTCGGCCGCACCCGGGGACAAACTCAGGCTTGTCCATCAGTCCCCAAGAGCCAGCCGTCTCCTCACACCTGCGCCCTCGCCAGATCCCACCTCACCTTGTCTTCCCAGGCCGCGTCGCTTCGCAGCACCTTGCTCCAGACAGACACTTTGAGGGCCCCGTTGGCCAGCTGCGGCTGAGACGGCTCCTCCTTCCGCCTCCCGCCGCTCATCCTCCCGTCGCGCCGCCCGGGCCGGGCCTGGGGCGCGCGGGCCGAGCCAAAAGGAGTCGAGGTCTGGGGTTGCAGGTCACGGCGCTCGCGGCGGCAGTAGCAGGCTCAGCAGTCTGGTTCGGTAGCGCGGTGTACCTGTCCGCACTTAGCCAAACAGTCCAGCTCAGCTCGCTCGACCGAGACCAGGTGCCGCGGAGGGAGGAGCAACGTAGCGCCGTGCGCCCTCCCGCCGACGTGTGCACGCAGCCAATCAGCGGCCGCGCAGCCGTCCAAATAAAAAAGTAGCCGTGGTCTCAGCGCAAGCGCTCTACGCGTGACGGAAGTGACGGCAAGTTTCCGCCAGGCGCGCGGTAGGGTGAGAGAGAAGGGACAATCTTGGGTGGGAGAGCGGCGCGAGCGTGAGGAGGCGCTGTGGCGACTGACGTACGGCGTGTGAAGCGAAAACGGAGGTTGGACAGGAGCGTAGTCCAGTTCGCCACAGCTGGTCCCTTGGAGCAGCGAGACAGAACGCGACCCTGCCATTCCCGAGGCGTCCTTCCTAGCCCAAACCTTGTTCCCGGGAGCCCCAGGCTGCTTCTCAGGACTCAACCCCTGTTCGCCCCCCCCCCCACTATAAATTCCGAAGGACCTTGTTCAGGATGGTAACCCTTCTGTAATAGTGTCTCGTCTTACCCAGCCCCTCTTTTGGCAAGTGAGCCCTGAGACCCAGAGGAGAAATGGTTTCCTAAGGCTGTGTAACAAGTCGGAAGCAGCTGAGGACTCCTCACGGAGTTGCGTGGAGAAAGTACTTTTTGAGGTGTCAGAATATCTGTAGTGTCCTCAATATATGCTAGGTCAGTGGTTCACAAAGTGTGTTTCTGGACCAGCGGCAGTCGCCTCACCTGGGAATTCGGTTAGGGATGTAAATTCTCGGACTCCATCCGGAACTGGGGGGGCGGGGCCTATACTCGGCGTTTTAATAAGCCCTGCAGCTGGTGCCGTGCGCACTGTGCGGTGCGGGAAGATGAGACCGAGCCGCAACACCTGTGTCTGTGCGGGTGGGTTTCGGGGGGAAGGAAGTTACCCAGAATCACTCAAGTAGTGCCTGGGTTTGTCTGACTCCAAAATTTGTGTTTTCAACCTTAGGCTTTAAGTCTTCAAGAATAACAATAAGGTCAGAATAGTCTTTGCATACCTGTCAACGTTCACTGTAGTTCTCCACCTTAGGTGAGCAACAGAATCTCCTAGAAAGTTTTTTCAGAATTCCAAAGCTGGTGTTTTCCACCACCATCTAACCCCAAGATCCTGTTTGAGTAGGGAGAGTGGGGCTGGCCCCCAAAGGAGCAACAAACTGCAATAGACATTACTCTGTCTGGATCTGGTGGGAGGGCCGTATAGCTGACATGGGTGTGCACCTTTAGTCCTTACTTTCCGGTGGATTTTGTTCTTTTTGGCCCTGCCTCTTTTCTGAACTCATTTCCCTTCCATATGCAAACTATGGTAAAGCGTCGCCAGCTCACTCCTGTCAGGAAGTGTGCCATCAGTATAAAATCTCTTTTACAGGCTCCCTGGTGGCATGCAGCCCTGGAGACAAACTAATCACTCTATTAGGGAATATTGGAAGACTAGCCCATGGTCAGAGACAAAAAAGGTAAGTTTTCCGTCCCCTGGGTTTGAAGGTAGAGGTCCGTAATGGGAAATTAGGGAAGACAGCTCTGAAGGGAGAGTAGGATTTACAAAGCGGGAAACGGGAAGAAGAGAGAGCATTTCAGAATATAAAACCATGTGGGTTAATGGTAAGGAATAAATACACAAATGAGAAAGAAAAGGGAGGGTCATGCTGAGAAATTTGATTTTATCCCAAGGGGGAGGAGGAAGCCACTGAAAGGACTTCACTTTTCAGATTTGTATCTTAAGGAAGATCACTCTGGCCCTGGCCAGTTTGGCTCAGCGGTTAGAGCGTCGGCCTGCGGTCCGGAGAGACCCGGGTTCGGTTCCCGCTAAGGGCACGTACTTCGGTTGCAGTTTGTCCCCGGCCCTGGTTGGCCGTGCGGGTGGCAGCCACTCGATGTGTCCCTTCACGTCGATGTTTCTCTCTCTCTCTCCCTTCCTCTCTCTCCCTCCCACTCTATCTGTACAAAAAAAATGGAAAAATATCCTCGGGTGAGGATAAAAAAATAAAAATAAAAAAAAAAAAGGAGGAAGATCACTCTGGCTTCTATTTGGAAGACTGGATCAGAGTGGGAGACTAAAGACTGTAAAAGTTTTTCAGCTGAGATTTAATGGGGCCTAAAGATGGAGAAAATTGGAGTAAAATGGAGTTAATTTCTTTTCTTTTTAAATATGTTTTTATTGATTTTTTTTAGAGAGAGAGAAAGGGAGAGATAGAAACATCTACCGGACTGCCTCCTGCAGGCCCCTGATTGGGGATCAAGCCCGCAACCCAGGCATGTGTCCTGACCAAGAATCGAACCAGGATCTCTCAGTCCATGGGACGATCGATGCTCAATCCACTGCGCCACACCAGCTGGGCTGGAGTTCATTTCTTTTCTTTTTTTTTTTTATTATTTTTTTTTATCCTCACCCGAGGACATTTTTGCATTTATCTTCAGATAGAGTGGGAGGGAGAGAGGGGAAGAGGAAGAGAGAAACATCGATTTGAGAGAGACGCATCGAGTGGCTGCCTCCTGCACAACACAACCAAGGCCGAGGACAAACTGCAACTGAGGTACCAGGCTGATGCTCTAACCGCTGAGCCAAACCGGCCAGGGCAATTTCATTTTAAACTTTAAAAAAATTTAAATTGCTGTAAAATATACATAACAAAATTTACTATTTTTAAGTGTATAGGTTCAGTGGCTCAGTGAAATATATTCAGTTTGTTTTGCAATCTTCCCCACCGTCCATTTTCAGAACCTTTCATCTTGCAAAAGTGAAACTGTGTATTCTTTAAACTGTTAATTCCCATTTCCCCCATCCCCCAACCCTTGGTAATGACCATTCTACTTTCTGTCTCTGAATTTGAGTAAGTACCTCATAAGAGTAGAATCACACAGTATTTATCCTTTTCTGATTGGCTTATTGCATTTAGCATAACATCTTCAAGGTTCATGTTGTAGAATGTCAGAATTTCCTTTTTAAGGCTGAATAATAATTTTGTCCTTTGTATGAATATACCACATTTTGTTTATCCATTTATCTATTGAGGGACATTTGGGCTGCTTCCATCTTTTGCTATTGTGAATAATGTGTCTGTACACTGGTGTACAAATAAATATCCATCATGCCCCTGCTTTCAGTTCTTTTGGTGTATACCCAGAATTGAGTTGCTGGATCATATGACAATTCTATTTTTAATTTTTTGAGGAACCTTTATACTCTTTTCTATAGCAGCTTCACCATTTAAATTCCCACCAACAGTACACAAGAGTTCCAATTTCGCCACATCCTTGCCAGCACTTGTTTTTTTTGTTTTGTTTTTTTTAATAACAAGTGCCGTAAAGTGGTATCTCATCATGGTTTTTTGTTTTTGTTTTTATCCTTACCTGAGGACATTCTTCCATTTTTTGTTCAGATAGAGCGGGAGGGAGGGAGAGGGAGAGAGGGAGAGGGGGAGAGAGAGAGAGAGAGAGAGAGAGAGAGAGAGAGAGAGAGAGAAACATCGACGTGAAAGGATCACATCGAGTGGCTGCCACCCTCACGACCCTACCAGGGCCAGGGACAAACAGCAACTGAGGCACACACCCTCAGTGGGGACGGAACCCGGGTCTCTCTGGACCGCAGGCCAATACTCTAACCACTGAGCCAAACTGGCCAGGGCTCATCATGGTTTTGATTTTTAATTTCCCTACTGATCAGTGATGTTGAGCATCTTCATGTGCTTTTTGCCCATTTGTATATCTTTGGAGAAATGTCTGTTTCAGACTTGAGCCCACTTTTGAGTCCGGTCATTTATTTCTTTGTGGTTTTCTTTTAGAATATGTTTTTATTGTTTTTTTTAGACAGAGAGGAAGAGAGAGATAGAAACATCTGTGTGTGCTCTGGCTGGTTTGGCTCAGCGGTTAGAGCGTCGGCCTGTGGACCAGAGAGACCCAGGTTCGGGTTCAGTTCCCACTAAGGGCAGGTACCTCAGTTGCAGTTTGTTCCCGGCCCCAGTTGGGGTTGTGTGGGTGGCAGCCAGTCAATGTGTCCCTCTCGCATCAATGTTTCTCTCTCTCTCTTCCTACCTCTCTCCCTCCCATTCTATCTGAAGATAGATGCAAAAATGTCCTCGAGTGAGGATAAAAAAAATAAATAAATGAATAAAAAGAAAGAAACATCTACATGAGAAACATCAGTTGGCTACCTCCTGCACGCCCCCTACTGGGGATTGAGCCCACAACCAGGGCATGCGCCCCAACCAGGAATTGAACCAGGACCTCTCAGTCCTTGGGACTGACGCTCAATCCACTGAGCCACACTGGCCTGGCTGGTCGTTTGTTTTTATTGTTGAGTTTTAGGAGCTCCGTATATATTCTGGGTATCTTTTTTCTTTATTGACTTTAGAGAGAGAGGAAGGGAGAAGGAGAGAGAGAAACATCAAGAGAGAACATCGATTGGCCACCTCCTGCATGCCCCCCACTGGGGATTTGGCCCACAACCTGGGCATGTGCCCTGACCAGGAATCCAACCAGTGACCTCTTGGTGCATGGGACCATGATGCTCAACCGCTGAGCCACACTGGCCGGGCTATATTCTGGGTATTAACCCCTTATCATATATGTAATTTGCAAATAATTGCTCCCATTTTGTGGGTTGCCTTTTTACTCTATTATTAGTGTTTTTTATAGAAAAAAGCTTTGATGAAGCTTTTGATGAAGTCCAATTTGTATAATTTATTGTTGTTGCCTGTGCCTTTGGTGTCATATATAAGAAATCATTGCCTCCTGGCCAGTGTGGCTCAGTGGATTGAGCATCGTCTCATGGACTCAGAGGTCTTGGTTCAATTCCCTGTCAGGGCACATGCCCAGGTTGTAGGCCAAATCCCCAGTAGGGGGCATGCAGGAAACAGCTGATTGGTGTTTCTCACGTTTCTGTCTCTCTCAAAAAAAAAAAATGTTTATATATATAGCTTTATGAAATCATTGCCATATCCAGTGTTATCAAGCTTTTCTCATTTTCTTCTGAGTTTTATAGTTTTAGCTCTTATGATTGGGTCTTTCATCCATTTTGAGTTAATTTTTTA